AGCAATTAACCACTAGGAAAAATGTATGCAATGTGTTAATTATTGAAACTGTCCTACCAATTTGGTTTCAAACTGTCTCATTGCTATTTGTTTCTCAATAAAATTATGGGGAAAAAATGAAAAAATAAAACAGAATACCTAAATGGAATTTTATCTAAACATGTAAGAATATCTGGTAAAATCCAGCCCTTTTCATATAATTACTAGAGTTCTTTTCAATTTTTCAAAGTAAGGTATTGCATAATCAATAGAAGGTTAGTAATTAATGTATCAGTATATATGTATATTGTTATACTATGAATCTGTATATAATAGAAAATTTAATATAGATCTAAGATATAGTAAAATCATGAAAGACAAAGCAAGATAAAAGTACATTCTGCAGTATAAGTTACTATTTTGGAGAGAACAATCATTAAAATATGTATTTATTTGTACATATGTAGACTAACTAGATATATTAGAAAACAGGTAGCATTTATGGCCTTTAAGGAGAAACACTGGCTAGCTTTGGGGCACTGGAACAGTCAACTGATTACTCATTTGTACAGTACCTTCTGAATTTTGAAATATATGAATGGACATGGAATTCATCAATTTGATGCTAATTATTAAAAATATCACCTAGTTTATAAAACTAAATGCAAAACAGCATTCTATATAACAAAACACGTTATAGTACCATAGAATCAACAGTGAAGGTTAATGATCTCATTCATCAAATAATAACCTGCATTCTGGAACATATTTCCCTTACCCTAAAGAAAATGAACTACTGTCTCTCACTATATAAACTAGCCATTTAAAAAATCAAATGTGTAATTATGTAGTTAGAATAAAGTCCTAATCCAAAAGGCAAGAAGAATAATTTCATATTTCTAAATAACAAATTGTACTTAGTGTTCATTCTGTGAAAATATTCTATATGAAATACATTTATATAAATGTCTCACATGAGCATTTTAGGAGTTATCAATCATAAAATGTTTTAATAATTAAAATGCCACCATTCTTAAATTGGCTACCAATCAATTATTGTTCTATAAAACCCAGCACATCCAGATTTATAACAAAAGAGAAATAATTCTTACTTTTCTCTTAATCTTTGAAGCTCCACTTTCAAGTCTTCATCCTCTATTTCTGATTCATCATCACTGCTCATTGGTGAAGATGGAGAATAGAAGAGTGAACTCTGTGTTTGAGCATATGCTTGTTCATGGAGTGGTAAGCACTGATTATTCTCCGGGCTAGTTTTTTCCACTGCTTTTTCATTACCAGCCACGTTGGCTAAAAATTCACTATTAGAATGAAGCTGTTTCCCACTAGTAAGTATCTCTCTTTCTTTAAGCAGTAATTTGGATCCAGACTGCATGCTACTTCCCATGGCTGAAGTTTCTTCCAATTCTTTTTCTGGGGTCACTGAAGATATATCAGTCTCAGAAGCTGTGCTTAAAGGTAAGAAGCTGTCAATTTGTTTGGCAATTCCTTTATTTTCTTTAAAGGTTTTGTGAAGAGTTTGTAACTTCTGAGAAGAAATGGAAGTCTGAATATTGTGTGTGCTAGTTTCCACTTCTACCAAGTGAGACTCTGCAGCTGCAGTAAAGGCTAGTGCTTCTTCACTAGACTGCTTTTCCTTGAATACTGGTCTGTGTTCTATTCCAAAAGATGTTGCTTTCTCTGACTGTTGCTGAGGAACTGTGATGACCTGAGATATAAAAAGGTAAAAGGGTCTGCTTCCACCTAACTGAAAGATAAATCTAAAAAAAATTAAACATCAATGTAAAGCATAGACAAGTGGCTGGTTTGCTCTGATGCACATGTACTAGTAGTACTAAAATTGGGAAAGACTATCTTCTGCCCAATATTCAGCCTTGCATTTTGGCCTCTTGCATAATAGTTGGGTTTATAGTTACCAAAAAAAATGCTATGAAGTTGCCAAGATAATAAAGGACATGAAATTAATTTTATAAAACAGATCTCCCACCAATCAAAAAATGATGACCATTTGTATATTTTTTTCTAGCCACTAAAATCCCCATTTCAGTAGATTCTCCTTTACAGATGGCTTCAAAAGGTAAGACTTATGCAAAGTTAACAGTTTAAAAATAATACGATCTACATTTAAATTAAGGATCATCTACAGATCAATCTTTAAATACTATTACTTTTTTCTTCTATGCTGGGGATGGAATATAGGGCTTCATATACAGAGCTTGGCAAGTTCTCTACCACTGAAGTACAGCCCTAGAAATGCTGTTACCTTTTATAAGGACTATATAAATGAGGATTCAACCAAAGACACAAACCTGGAACCGGCCCCGCTGAAATGATCCACTCATCGCTTTACATCTACTCAAAGCCCTAGTATCAACTGTGGACTCCTGTGTCACAGGAATGGGATCAGGAACAACTGCTGATCTTATATCTTCTGTTTCCACTGCAAGTTTTGTCAAATTATAAGCAAAAAAGAAAAAATTTCTCATTAAAACTAAATTTGTTTATATTACAACAAATGAAGAAAAGTAGAAAAAGTTTAACTCCTACTTGACAATTAACAAGTGTTAACATAATAAGTAACATCATGTAAGTCCCTAACTCTAAATCAGACATTGTAAGATTTATCCCAAGACTTAGTATCTATATGAAATGAGTAACTGCAAAATCAAATTAGTTACAAAAGGAAAAAAATAAAATGACAATGACATTAAATGGGGGCATGTCACATACATGGGCTATGTAGAAAAAAGTGGCAAGATTTGTATATGAATAAAAAAAATAATTAAATGAAAAATGATGTTACCTAGTCAATGTTCCTGACTGTAAGCACACTACCTTGATGGACTTTTGATCTCTTGAAAAAGCTGGTTGACTGCCGTAGCCTGTATGCCCAGCTTTTTAATTTGCGAGTCCAGGATTTCTTGCTAATAGGATTTTTGAGACTAGGACAAGTAAAGCTTAGGCCAAAATATCCACCTCCTGTCTGCAGATGAATGGCTCCACCACTTGACACAGCAGCAGGATAGGCCTCTGGATCCCCTGGAAGTGAAGCATCTGGAGACATCTCCTAATGGAGACAAAAAGAGAAAAAAAGTAATAATAACTTAAGTACTGCGGAGATTTGGGGGGGGGTATATTTTGGTGTCGTATGTGGACTAATCATGAATCAAAATTAGAATATTATGTATATCTGCATTAATGGAACTGTATCAGACTGAACTTGAGCTATTCAATTTGTAGTAATTAAATCTTCTCATTTCTTTAAAAATGTTATTTAGGCATTAGATGAATAAAAAGAGAATATTAGTCTCCCATGCCAGGATATTTTTCATCATTATGCCAACTCTAAAAACTGAAAGTTAAAATAAAAATTACTTCCTTCCTATGTGCCATTTTACAAAAAAGTTACTCAAATCTCATGCTATTGAAATGCAATGTTTATTTATTCTCATATTATTTAAGAGAGTTCAAAATGCCTGTCACAGTAAGAGAAAAACTATCTAAGGCTCTTAAGAGCAATAAATACCAGCAACAAAGTTTCCTTCTTTATGTATGCACAGAGAAATTTACAAATAGATTAAAATTGTTATGGTTTGTGTCTAGTTGTCCCCACGAAAGCCCCATGCAGTCATGGGGGGGGGACTTCTAGAGTTTGAAATTAACTCATGATCCACTGGGATTATAGGTTTTAGTACTGTTGGGATTATGGGTGGGAGCACTTCTCCCAGCCTGGGCGGATAGCCTGAATGTTACATAAGAGAGACAGACTTCCTCTCTGTTGCCATTATTGCTGCTACTCCTCCATTTTGCTCTCTTCCTCTTTGCCGCTGCCATGAAAGGTTGCTCTCTGCCATGTGCCGCTCTGCCGGGGAGCCAGATGAGTATGGACTGAAACCTCTAGTAACTGTGAGCTAAATAAACCTTTCCTTCCTTCATTTTGTCCCAGCAACAAGAGAAGAGTAACTGAGACAATTAAAATGATTTAAATTCATTCTTTAAAAATTGAGATCATGAAGTAATGCTGGCTATACAATCAATCTCTTTTTTCTTGTCCTTGTGCGCAACTCCTCTCAAAAAAATCCTAGAATTAACTGTTGTATGTTATTGACTGCTTTAAGAATAAATTTACTAAAATAATATAAAAACTAATATTAATCACAAATATTTTGGGAAACATGAAAATAGTTACACAATAATCTACAAGTTTAAAGTGAATACAAAAGAACAAAGAACAGGATTTACCATTTGTCTGAAGGAAGACAGCCTACACGATAAACGTATTATCCTGGGTAAGTACTACGAACACTAAGGGCAGAAAAGGGGTTATTGAAAGTAATATTCTGAGCAATCAGCTTTCATTTGCCAATACCCCTTTTGGATGGGTAATATCACTTTGATAAGGAAAAAAATAAAAGACAACTCTGTGAATGATATTACAGATTAGCAAGTATTGCACTGGTCTACTAAAATTATAGGTAAAATTTTCATTATGTAGGAACTGGATCAAGATGGTATATTTAATATATGTCTCAATCCCACTTACAAATTCAAATCACCAAACACAACAAGAAATACAATTATGGACATAATCACATATAATTGAAAGGAAAAAAAAAGCAGACCATAACATATGTACGAACTGTTTCAAAATGCTATGAACTAATAAAAAACAAAAATTCCACAAACTAAAGTGAGAGAGATGAGCAACAAAGACAAGGTCTGACCCACCCAGAGGATGAGTTATTAGCCACTTATAAAATTCTACCCATGGGGCCCGGGGAGATGGCTCAATGAAATAAGCGCTTCCCTGGCAAGCGCAAGGGCCTGAGTTTAATCTCCGGTTCGGGCAAAAAAAAAAAAAAATTCTACACAATCTTCTGTTTCTTAATGTTGCCTTCTAATACTCCTCTATTTACTTTCTTTTCATTACTTGAACTAATCTCCACCTATGAATGTCACTACCACAAATCTTTCCCTGATCACTTTATGTAGAGTAATCCCCTAGTCTATCATAGCCCTTTACTTCTATTACTTTTTTTGTTTAGGGTCTATTTCCCCCTACTAATTTGAGAGCTCCACAAAAATAAGAGGTCTTGATTTATTCACTGCTCAACAGAGTATCAATGTATGGAAGAGTGCACTGAATGGGTACAAAGAAGGAAAAGCCATGAAGTTCTTTCCCTTTCTTCCCTACCTACACACAAGCAAAAGACCACAGAATATATGCCCCTAAATCTGAATAGAAAGAGTAAATGGTTTGTGGCCAAGCAATGGATCAGCATAGGAGGAGATAACATCTAGGAGGAAGATGAACATGAAGCCCTCCTGCCTTTAAAGACTATATACTAGGTCACAGTACAGGCAGCATTAGAGACAAGTTACAATACAAATGTTGGTGAGTGTGTTGTATGGCTTTCCTAAAATTACTGGCAGAAGGCTACAGTAATTATATATAGCATTTATAGGCAAATAAACAAGGAATCTTTTTTGTTTGTTGAGACAGGGTCTCACTATGTGGTTCAGGCTGGCCTTCAACTATGTAGCCCAGGCGAGCCTTGATCTCATGGTGCTCCTCCTTCTTCAGCCTCCCAACTGCTAAGCTTATAGGCATGTACCACACCCGGCTAAGCAAGGAATCTTAAGGGGGAAAAAAGAGATGAATGCACAACTCAGAATAACCAAACAATTTTATGGAAATTCAACACTATTAGAAAATATTAAATTTGAACTGAGGAATAGCCAAGGAAATAGCATTTATAACACAAACTAAGACATTAATATCTCCAGAATGATGTATTAATATAAAGTCATGCATTGCATAACAACATCTTGGTCAACAATGTACTGCATATATTAACGGTAACCCTATAAAGTTATAATGGAGCTTGAAAATTCCTCATGCTTAATATTTTATTGTGCCTTTACTATGTTTAGAGACACAGATATTTATAACTGTGCTATAATTGCTTATAGTATTCACTACATTACCATGATATAGAGGTCTGCAATACAAAGATATGGGCTATACAATATAGCTTAGATATATAATAGGTTATATATCTAGTTTTAAGTACATTCTGTGATGTACATGGAAATAAGTAGCCTATCAACACATTTATCAGAATGTATTTCTGCTGTTAATTCACATGTAGCTGTACTACATCTGTAAGGAAAATAATGAACTACAGTTACTAAAAAAGATATAATCATTGATGCAAAAAAGATGAATAGGATATTGCAAACTTCTTAAAAACTGAGTACAAAAACTAAAAGGACAGTGAAGTTGTAAAGCAGTAAATGAAATTTAACAGATTAAAAGAAAAACCAGAAATAAAACATGTCTGTTGACAGATGACAAAATCTTATACTATATACAGAAAATTCAAAGAATCCACCAAAAGCTTTTTATATATTTTAAAAATCTTTGAGACAGTGTCTCCCTGTGCAGTGCAGGCTGGCCTTGAGCTCACCTTATAGGCTTGGCTGGCCTTAAATTTGCACCAATCCTACTGCCTTGAGCTCCTAAGTGCTAGGATAATAAGTGTGCATTATCACACCCAACTCTAGCACCGAAAATTATTAGAGCTAATAAACTCAGCAAGTTTGAATGGTGCAACATGAATAATAAAAATCAGTTTTATTTGTATGCATTAGCAATAAAAAAATCCAAAAGGGAACTCACCATGAGGTATGGTCTCAATGGTAGAGAAATTGCATACCATGTATAAGAATTGCCTAGCACATATAAGGACCTGGGTCCCACCCCCAGCACAGCACAAACGAAGAAGAAAATGAAAGAGAAAGAGAATAAAGATAATTAGGTGGAGGACAAGACAGAAGAGGAGGAGAAGGAAAAAGGGGAAAAAGGAAATTAACCCAACATTGCACATGTGAACATCCCTATTTGAATATCTGAATTCTGTAATGCACCAAAATATGAAACTTTCTGAGAATAAAAATGATGCTCCAAGCAGAAAGTTCCACAGCTGACCTCATGTAAGAGTTCACACTCAAAATGTAGTACATTAAAAATATTGCTAAAGTTGCCTACAGGTTCTGTGTATAAACATAAATGAACTATGTGTTTTGACTTGGCTCACATCTTCAATATACCTCATTGTAGATATGCAAATGTATATTCTAAATTTCAAAAAATATTCAAATCAGAAACATTTCTAATGTCTAGCATGTCAGATAAAGAACATTCAACCTGTAAAATTTTAGAAAAAGTCAGGGAATTAGGAGTTATTTTACCTTTTTTTCCCAAGTAAATTAACCCCCCAGCATGTTTAGCTTAATATTATAAAACGTTTGAAGAGGATATTGATGAGACTTTCTTGTTAAACAGAAATAGAAAGGAAAGTTTTTCCACCTACTATCAATTTCTGTTCTTCCCTAAATACACACACATTGCTTCCTTCATTTCTAGCTAATACCAGGGGGGTCTCTTACACGTGACAGATCTGCCATCCACACTGAGAAATTCTGAGTATGTGTAACCTAAATTATGGCCTTTAGATACTTATGATCTCAGAATCTCGTAACATAGTTTCAAAGGACCATATTTTAAGAGAGAAGTAATTTCTTTTTTAAATAAAAAGCAAATAAGGAATTAGGATGAATGATACTTACATGTAAACATAATTCGCTGGGTACAGAAGTTATCACATTCAAGTCCCGTTCGAACGCTGATATGCTAGCAGGCTGACTTGCAGCCACACTGGACAGAATATTAGAGGCTCCCTGTTGGAAATTTGGAGATTGTGCAGGACTATCTTGGATTGCACAGTGACTGATGGCTATAACTTCTGTCATTGTACAAGAAAGCGTGTCTTCAGCAGAAGAAGAAAATGGAGATTCTATGCTTTGGGTATCCTTCTGACTCTCAGAATATATACTAGAGGTGTTGTGCTCCTGATAGAGCAAGTTTCTCAATTTTTCATCCAGAGTTTTAATGCGGTTGTCTGCAAACTCCATTTTTGGAGGTCTTTCCCCATCTGATTCCAGGACAGTAATGGGTAGAAGGGTAGTTGATTCAAGGCCAGGGGTCTGAGTGGGAATGACTGCCTTAGGAGAACCTGATTCAGTATTCACTGCTGTTTCTCCTTCTTGGGACATAAACTCTGCATCAGGAGTTGGCTGCTGTACTGATAAAGACCGAGGCTTTTGATCAGAAACAAATGCTGAAGTCGTAACAGGATTATCAGTAATCTGCGTTGATTCGCCAGAATAGGTCACAAGCACATTAGCCTGACTGGAAGCTTGATCACATGGATATACAGGTATGAACATACCTGTCTGGTTGGTGAGTCTGTCACATTTGACTGGAATTGTACAAACCGAAGTAGCAGAATAAGTGGAACTACTAGTACTTGGTGCCGTTATCTGCCTGTCATCTTCCATTGGATAAGGTATAGCTGGCTTCTTGGCTTCTATACTAGCACATTCAGAAGTCTTACCATCAACTAAATCCTTATGTTCTGATTTGAAGGTGAAAAGTACACGCTCACACGGATTATTTTCTATCGTGAGCAACGTGTCCTGTGACATTTCCTTATTATTTGTGTTTCTTGAGCCTGGAACAATAACAAAGGAATTGCTAAGTATATACTAATAAGTAAAAAGCATGGAGTAGTACCAAACTGAAAAGGAGCATGAAAAGCAAAAGACAAATGAGTGCTGGGGATATAATTCAGTGACACAGCACCTGCCTGGCAAGCACAAGGTCCCGAGTTTGATTCCCAATACAAAAACAGAGACAAATGAGAACCTCTGTGAGAGTACTCTTTAGGTAAGACTCAAAATATCACAGAATTCAACTGGTCAAGGAAAAACAACTTTCTCTTTTTTTGTATAAATATTTAAAAATGGCTTAAAGTTGTATACTAACATAAATGCTTTAAAAAGGATTATGAAAATTTAATAAGCACAATATACCTATGAAAACAGGATAAAGATAAGTTATATATTTTGCATCCATAACTTCTGAGTCTGGACAAAACTAGCACAAAATGAAAACTTACAGGGGCCAGGGAGATGGCTCAGTGGAATAGGCACTTTCCTGGCAAGTGCAAGGACCTGAGTTCAATCCCCAGTTCCGTAAAAAAAAAATAAAAAATAAAGAAGAAGAAGAAGAAAAGAAAACTTACAAGGAAATGGATGTAACTCTGGAACTGTAGCCAAAGAAGGCTGAAGAGGAGGAGACTGAGTTTCCCGGTTTCTTATTGTTTGATTGATACAAAATCGCCATCGACCAACTGGGGATGACTGAGGAGCAGATTCATCTGTAGAAATAACAAAAGAATTAATATGCTAAGCAATTGTCAATTTGTTTACCTTTTAAGGCAACCGGATTAAAAAACCAATTTGATATTTATTTCCTCTGATATTGGAATAATTGTAAGACCATATCTTTCAACCTTGACAAATAATCTAAAAAACTAAGCACACAGTTTCTATCAATAATAATTAGAAGCAAGACACTACTTGGTTTTGGGGAGGCATGGAAAGCATTTTTCCATCAAAATTTACAACTCTTGAAAAAAAGAATATCAATTTGAACCCAGACGGAACAATTTAGCAACTTAGTGATATACTATCTCCAATGGAAGTGTAGCTCAAGGAGAACAACCTGGGTTAAGTCCCCAGTGCAACAAAACAAAAATGAAAACACCCTACATCTCCTGTTTGGCATCTTTTTTATACTGGTTCTTAATTAAATCAATACAAGCACTGATATTTATAAGCTATCCATTAGAAGTTGATTTTACCATATGGCAATATAAACAACAAAGTAAAACAAATCCCTACACTTGAATTCCTGCTCCGTAAACTTAATATTCTTTTAAACTTTACCCTCCTACTTTAATTAGAAACCTGCTAACCAGAAAAATAACATACAGAAGGACCCTGTCATCCTAACACAGTCAAACAAAATTTCGGACACCATCTGGTTTCATTACTCTCACAATACCTTTTGCTTCCTCATACTGTTAAAAAGTTCTTTAGAGGTTTTCACATGTCTATGGTTCTCCTCCCCCTCCCAGCTACTTTTTATATACCCAAGAGCAGAGGTGAGAATAGAGAGATTACGTTATCAAAAGAGAAAACGCAAGAACCCCAGTTATAGTATCTGTATGTATATCTGGAAAATGATTTACAAAAAGTTAGTGGTCAAAGCTAGTAGAAGCATTATTACTGGTGGGATAAAATCAAGATATGAATGACTACCAAAACAAAAGGCAAAAGAGCCGAGGAGATAGCTCAGCAGCATAAACACCTGCCTGGCAAGTGTAAGGTTCCAAGTTCTATCCCTGGTACTGAAAAACAAATTAAAACAAAAGGCAAATTCAGAACATAATAATTTTACTTAAGAAACTTTCTATCCATCTTATATCAGAAAAGAACGACTTCACAATTGTTTCAAACAGGCCAATAAAGGTCACAGGTAGTGTAACTGCTTTTCTGGTTAACATACATGCAACAACTCAGAAATAAGTTAATCAGATAAAGAACCAACACTTGGAGGAAATTTGGAGAACTGATTCTTATCTCTGAGCTATATACTCTTTGCAAAGTGTGCAAAAATAACAACTTATCAAATTACTTTACAGGTTAACATGTTTTTCAATGAAGGTATGTAAATTAAGTCTCCAAATGTCTTGCTTCAAAAGAAAAATCATAAATTTTAGTAAATATACTTACTGCTGGTTTGAGTGGATGCAGAATTTATCTGTACTTGTTCAGATGATCCTGTCTGAATTAAAAATGAATAGATAAATAATGAAATTCCTAACACATATCAAAAAAGACCTACTTGCTAAACAATTGCTCTTACTTGGTTACTGTTGGATTCCAAGGTAATAGAGTCAATTCCCATGGATTTTTCTGCGGCAGAATGGATATGAAGAATCTCCTGGGCTTGACCTACAATAGCCCTCAAGTCTTCTACAAATTTTTCTTTCTCATTCTCCAGCACAAAGTTATCTTCAACCTGGCCCCAAATAGAAGGCAGTCTATTCACGAGAATTTAGTTTTTTCAAAATCATAATACTTACAACTATACAGAAAAAAAAAGTTATCTAAATTGAAGTACCATAACACCACTAATGGAATGCCATTGCCAGACTGGCATGACCTAAAGAAGCAAGTACTTTTTAAATTACCTGGACTCCAATAAATGGGGCATTATTTAAAGTGTAACTGAGGCACTGTTTAAAATTAGGATGTCCAAATCTAAAAAATTATAATCCACAAATTACAAAATGAAGTATCTTCAAAGATGGTAAACAAGCTGGACCTGGTGGTACTGCCTAAAATTCCAGCACTCTTGAGAAGCTGAGGCAGGAGGATCTCAATTTTGGGCTCAGCCTAGGCAACTTAGCAATTTAGTAAGACTTTGTCTCAAAAAAAATTTAAAAATGGTAGAGAGGAATGCGGCATGCAGCTAAGTGTGAAGGCCCTGGGTTCAATCTCTAATATTGCAAAAAACAAAGATGACAAATAGTGGTACAAAGTCTTAGGTTTACCACACCTAAGAAATAGGAAAGAACTGAAACTTCAGAAAATACTATGTTAGATATAAACCTGATAAAATTATTATTTCTACTTAGCAATGCAGAAATAAAAAACTTGCATTCTGTCTGTGAAACTAGACAAATCCCTATCAAAAAAGAAGAAAAATACTAACTTAAGCCTAACCATTCAGAAATTTTTTTAAAAAAAAATCTGAAGAAAGAACATAATTTAAGTACTTACATGAATGATGTTACATCACTGGCTAACACAGTAGAATTACCTGAATAGCTTGCAAGCTATTGATGCTCAGATTTTACCCAAAAAAGATCCTGATTTAATCGGGGATTTATGCAACAAAATTATGATTAAAAAGCTTATTAATGATTTTATCATAAAGTCAGAAATTGTAAAGAGAATATGCTCTAATATTTTCCTAATCATAACCAATTTGGCTCTGTAGAGATTTGAAAAACTAACCATGCTCTTTAAAACATACGGGTCTGAATAAATGAAGGAGGACTTGGAGAAAATAAAGAGACAGAGAACACTACAGGGAAAATATTTTGATTTTACTATACTTACCATATAGTCTGCAATGTCCTCTGGTGCGTCACCATCAACATCAAATTTGAAGGTAACCATCTTGTTGTTGTGAGTCTCCAGCTGACACTCTACCGTGTTGTCTCCAGAAGTTGAAACCTAAGCATACATATTTCATCGATTTAAGAATCACTGATTTCTCTTTATAAATGATGTACAGGACTATCTTGATGATTTCACATAAAATATATGTGGAAAATGGTTCAAATACTTCAGAATCAGATAAAATAAACAAAAGAGAAAAAAACTTTACATTCATTTTTTCCTTCATTTTTTGAGACAGGATCTTGCTATATAATTCAGGCTGGCCTTTCAACTCGTGGTGATCTGCCTGCCTCAGCCTACTGTGCACTAGGAATAGTTATAAACTACCATGCCCAATAATCCTTCAGATTCTAGCAACATTATGTTTTTCACTCGGTGAACTATCTACCACCTCAACAGCCATCCCACAGTAAATATAATAGAAGCAAATTAGTCAGTAAAAACATGTCAGAAATGTGACCCTGACAAAAAAATCGAACAAAAAATTACAACAAATTCTAACAACAAATTACAAAATTTACAAAAATCACTACAGCAGTGTGTAACACAATAACAAAATTCAGTCATTCATTTATCGGTCTATAATTTTAGCAACGAGTATTTAGAAACTTATAAAAGTGTCATACTTTTTGTTCTGGAGTTGGACTCAGGGTCTTGCACATGCTAAGCACATGCTCTACCACTAAGCTATACCTTCAATCTCTAAAATTTCAACTTTTTAATCCATAAATTTTACTTCTAGGGCTGTATCATAAGGAAATAATAAGGGATAAATACAAAGAACTTATAAGATGTTTGGTGCAGAGAGAAAAATAGACATACAGGCAGAGAATGGAAGGCAGAAAGGAAATTAAGACTGGCAGAAAGAGACAGACAAAAAGGACAAATAATAGAAGGAATGACTGAATTATATCATTCAAATAACTATCTACTGCAATCACTTAAAATGTTATTTAAAAATAACTTAATGAAAGATGAATATATACATGATGTATTATGTTTTTCAAAAAGATAGGATACAAAATTGTACATAGGTTTAAACAGCCACTTGAAATTGGTATCATATTGACTGGAGATACAGACTATAATATTTGATCTAGGTTCAGATCTCACTTGATCACCTGCTGGTTGAATGATCTTAGGTAAATTATTTGATATGTAATATCCTCATTTGTAAAGATGACTATATGTCTACCTATCATACAGAGATTTAGAAAGTTTACATGATAAAATGGGTGTGTCATAAAATGTCATTTAGGGTGCCTACCAGAGAAAAATTCAGTATGTTTTTGCTACTAAACTAATAATATTACAATCTGGTTTTTATATTTTTTTTCATTAATTTTATTGAGAAACAAATAGCAATGAGACAGTTTCAAAACAGATTAATAGGACAGTTTCAATAATTAATATATTGCATATTGTTTTCTTCGTAGTGGTTATTCAAAGTACAAGATGCAGACATGACATCCTGTCTAAACACTATTCAAATCTTTTTTCTCATTGAATTAAGAGAAAGTGGGGCCGGGGAGATGGCTCAGTGGAATAAGTGCTTCCCTGGCAAGCACAAGGGCCTGAGTTCAATCCCTGGTTCTGCAAAAAGAAAAAAAGGGGTGCACCTGGGGAGATGGCTCAGTAGAATAAGTGCTTGCCTGGCAAGTGCAAGGGCCTGAGTTCAATCCCTGGTTCCACCAAAAAAATAAAAAAGAATTAAGAGAAAGTTAGCTGTATACAGATACAAAATGGTCCCTCATTTGTACCCTCTTTTTTGTTTAGTTTTGTCAGCGATGGGTATTCCATTGCCATTTAAATATTGTAGGTGTGTGAAATCAGCAAAGAAAGCCAATATAGTCTAGTAGTCCTTAACAGTAGTGGGTTATACTTAGGACTGGCAATGTCAGAAGTTGTTGACTTGAGCCCTTTATAGCTCAATATGTTAATATGCCTTTACTTTTCATACCTTGTTTTTATACTTTTCTGCTGGATGGTTAAGACTAAGATAAAGCAAGACCTATATAATATGTAACAAAAAATGTAACTTTTGTATCTGCCAAGGTCAGTCAAATCCCCTCAGGATTTACCCTGAAACCCTGTACCACAGTTTGTAGACCCTTTGTCAGTATCAGCCATGTGGATGAGTCACCGCCATTACTTGGCTGATTTGCTCTCTGTGAAAGCCTGCGAGAATGTTTTCTCTCCACGTGACTCTCCTTAGGCACACTCCACATCATTGATCACTTTCCTCTGTGGCCCCATAATCTCCTTGATCAGAAAATTTGGGACACAACTGAGTTGCATGATGTTACAGTATAGGTTCTCCTATGTTCTGAGTCTTCACTGAACTTGAAAGGCTAGGGCCAAAATGTTGGCTGTCCTTGCAGCCCTTCGTTTTCTCTAATTTTTGGTCTGCAAACTTAAGTTGTTAACACTCTGGAAGAGAAGCTTAATGATATTATTACCCTATAACATAGGCAGTTGAGCTTAACCTCATTATCTGTGTGAATATCAAGCATCTTAAACATAACATGAAACAGGTATTTTCCATCAAGTATTGATATGTTAAACTTTAAATCCCTACAGAATGTGAGGAAAAAAGAAAATAATATTTTTTAAAATAGGATAAACAATTACATATTTTTACACAGAAATTTAGAAATCTAACCATAGATTTGCATTGTAGCAGGACAGTCCTATGACTTTTTTTTTTCTTGTCTCTTATTTTCATTTATCATCCTTTTTTTTTAAACAAACATTTGCTTGAGAGACAGTATGGTAGTAATTGGTATGACATGACAGGCAGTATGTATTTAGAAGACCAGAATGACAGACATTTCAAGCATGACCCTACTATTATACATTGCTATCGTCAGTGCAGTTGCTTAGAATCTTAATAATGGAATATACTACACATTCATATAGGAAAAAATGAAAAACTAAAATGTTATCAGGTGCTAGCTCTGAGTGGTGACTGTAAGTGATGCTTATTTTCTTTCTCATATCTATCCTATATTCTCCAAGTTAAACAATTAACACACAATACTCCTATCAAAAATATTTTAATGGAAGAAAATTTAGCTCACAGAGAGTTCCATTATATTCTAAATCTGCTTCCATGGTATAACTTATCCCTAGCCCTCTAAGACCTGTACATGCACCCATAACCACACCATAGGTATACACTAACCTGAAGAACAGTAAGCTGAAATTTAGTCCCCTTTTCTGGTCGGGGACAGGAAGCTCTTCTCTGCTTAATCCGATCTGGTTTGCCATTTCCACTTGGATAATCAGGATTATAAGTATTTTCTTTCATAGCTGCCACATCTTGATTCAAGCTAATGATTAAAAAAAGTAACTCATCAAATCTTGATAGTAAAAATCTAAGAAAAACTTAATTATAAAATTATAAATAACAAGTTTGAGGAAAAATTAATAAATAGTAAAATATATTTTTAATGTGGTGATTACACAACTCTGTGAATATACTAATGCCATTGGATCATATACTTTAAATATGTAATCTTATATAGTATAAAACTACATTTCAATGAATTTTTCTTTTGAGGGGGCAGTACTGGGGATCAAACCCCAACTTTTGCACTGAGCTACATCCTCAATCTTAAGACAGGGTATTACTAAACTGCCCAGGCTGGGCTTGAACTTGTGCTCTGCCTGATTCAGCCTCACAGATGATACTGGTGAGCTGGCTTTGGCAATGGCATATGCCTGTCATCTCAACATTCTGGGAGGTCAAACTGGGAGAAATCATAGCTTTGAGGCCTGTCTGGTTAATTTAGCAAGACACTATCTCAAAATAAAAAAAGAGTTAATGTAGCTCTGTGTGATGCACCTAGGTTTAATCCCTAATAACTGCCCCTACAAGACATCTTTTTTTAAATTGATATTTTTAAAATTAACTTTTAGGTAAGCCCTTCTAAAAACTATTCATAAAGCAAGTATATAATGATACACAAAAGAGACTTAGAAATAGTATTTTTTACCAGAAATACAACTGGTGGACTAATACTTCTCCCTAAGGGCTAGAGATATACTTAGCGATAAGAGAACTTACCTAGCAAGCATGAGGTTCTGGTTTCTATCTCCAGCACTACAAACAATTTTTTAAATGAGTAATACTGATCCTAGAGGCTCTAAATACACAGAGAAATGGCAGTAATGTATCTTTTGAGGATGAAAGAGACATAATTTTAGCCAATGGGGCTAAATTGTGTATATCACAAATTAATTATTAAAACAACTTTGTGTTTGGATCATGATGGCAAAAGCTCAACTGTTTATTTCCATTAAATACAGCTAAAAGAAATCTGAAAATATGTAATACAGTAGGCAATCATGTGAGGGCACTGAAAATGAAAAGAGAAAAGCACACTATCTAGGGATCCCCAGGACTTGAAAAACAGAGTAGCTTGGCATCTACCAATACCCAACCTGTAACAGAAAGTAGTCAAGCAAGGCTCATGATATTTTGACTTCCTGTCAAGATACAAGCAGCCCAAACACACTGTCTCATGACTCCCACCCCAACAGCAGAAGATGGCTTAAACAGGCCTCTTCCTTCCCCAGGAGGCACGAGAATGAGCCTTAGCAGTAGAATGTGGCTTGGATTATAGGCCAAGAGAACTCTCTACTCTTTAGTCACATGATGAGGCATAGTGGTGCTAGCTGAACAAAGCAGACCAGAATAGCATAAATATTGTGAAAACTAAGTTGTCATTAGAACCATATCACACTGTTATAGCAACTGAGTTAGATAGAAATACTATGGAGGATTGGATAAGGCTAGACTCTCATAAGATCCAGTACAGAAGAAGAGATGTCTTGCAGCTGTTGGGGAGACAGGCACCTCCACTGCAGACCAGACCTCAAGATAGAAGATAAAACAAAAGCAACCATATACTTCCTAAGAATAAACATCAGGGACTGATATTATAGAAAGATATCAATTACCTTGAGGAAGCCAGGAAGAGGCACTAATACAGTCTCCTGCAGGAAAAGCCCCTGTTCATGCCTAATTGTTCCTTGACTCACTTCCCCCTTTGATCCAGATTAAAGCAATTTTATCTGAGAAACTGTACTTATCATCTTATTGGTAGACTATAGTTTTGTTCCACCTTGTGATTTCCCATTTTTCCCCACTTTGGACCCACCTCACCTCATGGTTATGCTCTGTAAAAATCCCTAGGAAAGGCAAGGTCCTTGGCAACCCACTTGGGTCCTCTTCTGTATCTCTCTTAGCCAGAAACTTTCTGTCTCCCAATATATATTCTTTCTTCTCTTAACCTCCATTATTGCTAAAATTCATTCTTCTATTTTCAAGAAAAGAACTTGTACCAGATATCTAGCAGGTTGGGAGTTTCTTTACTCTGTATCACTGAGAAAACTGGCCAGGACCTATGCACCTCAACAGAGTGAATATATGCTAAAATAGAAGATTTACATAGGATCCAAAGTCACATAACATTCAAAATGCCCATGATATAAATAAAAATATTCTGATACCAAAAATGAGGAAAATCGTAACTTGAATGGAAAAATACCAATTAATAGGTATTAACACTAAGATGAATCAGATTTTGTAATTATGTGAAAAGATACTAAAGCAGCCATGATCAAAATAATTTATTGAAGGCTTGAACATGTGGTGAGGGAGTAGAGTCCTTGCTTTGTTTGCATGGAACTTTGGGCTCAATTTTCAATACCACAGAACAAATAAATAATTATATATATTCTTTAAGCAAATGAGGAAAACAAAACTTCATGAAATAAAAGGTACTTAAAAATGGAAATTATAGAAGTAAACGTAGAATCAGAAATTTTTTTAAAAGTCACTGAATGGTCGGGGAGCTAGCTCAATGGTATAATGCCTGCTTGGCAAGCACAAGGTCCTGAGTTCAATTGCCAGTACTGGAAAAAGAAAAAGTCGATGAATGGGCAAAGGGATACAAGTGTTACAAACAGGACAAAGGAAAGAATCAGTGAATTTAAATAATTGAAATTAATTAGAAAAATGTGCAGAAGAATACTAGCTTACAGCTACCAAGTAATAGTACAATTACATATTTTGTTGTAATTTATTCCTTTGTATTAGCTAGATTTTTATTCTAAATTGTATTATTTCCTTATGTTTTCTTTTGTGGAACTAGAGATTGACCCAGGGCCTTCATGCTGAGCTACATTTCTAGTCCTTTTGAAATGCTTTCATTATGAGACAGAATCTTGCTAAGTCTCTGAACTGTCCAGGTTGGAGTTGGATTCTCCAGCCTTAGCCTACTAGAAATATGATGGAATTCTAGGTATGTACCACCATATCCAGATCCAGCTCTTATTTCCTTTTTAAGTCTTCTAAATTGTCTTACAATTGAATACTATAGACTAATAAAATGTCAAATTTAATATCCATACTGTCTGTATTTATATATTAAAAATAAAACAAGTAGGGGCCGGGGAGATGGCTCAGTGGAATAAGCGCTTCCCTGGCAAGCACAAGAGCCTGAGTTCAATCCCCGATTCCGCCAAAAACAAATAAATAAATAAAAATAAAAAATAAAACAAGTAATACCTGCCAATTTTATTAAACCTGCACACAAAAGAACACAAAAGCTTCCTTAGCTGAGATGCACTAAGCATCTAATTATTGTACACACTTCAGTATATACTCAATGTTTTCATACTTACCTTCGAACTAAATCTGGCTTTTGCACAGCTGCTTGTTGTTCAACTCCAGCCAACTGGGATATAGCCTGTTAGTACAAAAATAAAAGCTGCTATAATAATAGCAAAACGCAAGTGAAACATATAATTTTCTACTATTTCAAAAACCAGAATAGTCACCTTTCAACTTTTGGTAGCTTTGCAAGGTAGAATGTCTGTATCAGTCTTATTATTTATAACATTACTAAAGAGAACAAGGCAGCCATATATAGAAATCCATCTTTTATCCTTCAAGATATTTTCATTTAAAAATTAACGCTGTTTTATGCACTTCTGTTTGTTATTTTTCAACAGAGAACTTTATTATCGAGCCTCCAGTCCTGGCTGTAAAACTACTACTTCAAAAAATGGTGTACTGCCATTCTACCGGCAGATAAATCAAAGGCTCATGTTTCCATTAAGAATGTAAATGCTAAAAAAAAAAAAAAAAAGTTAATGCTGGGTGTGGTGTTGTACGCCTGTTATCCCAGAAACTGAGGCAGGAGCATCACTATGAGCTTGAGCCTAGCCAGGGCTACAAAGTGAGTTTACAGCAAGTCTAAACAGCATAGTGAAACCCTATCTCAAAAAAAAAAGAGAGAGAGAGAGAGAGAGAGAGACAATGGGGCCTTGCGGGTTAGCTCAATTGTTTAAAGCACCTGCTTGGGCAAACTCAGTCAGGTGCAGAGGACCGCACAAGAATGTAAATAACAATACTGTTGGAAAATAATTTTAAATATTTGTGTAGTCTATCTTCTATGCAGAAGGTGACAGGACAGAGGGATCTTAGAATGCAAATTTAAGGTCACTGGGGCTCCGTGGCAGCCCAGCTCCAGGCAGACATACCACAATGGGTTCACCAAAGAAGCACCTTGGAGAAGAAGCAGCAGCCTGAACTACCGCTGTGGCCAGTACCAGGAGCTCAGCTGAGCAGGCTCCATGGCATCAGGAGCATAAAAAACACAAGCATCAGAGTGGCGGCAGCGGTGGCATTGGTGGTGAACAACAGAAGCGGAGCCTGGAATGGGGGAGCTAGTGCAGGAGTGGGCCGCATGGGAATGGGCAGTGTGGGACAGAAGCCCAAGCCCATAGTGGCGCGCATGGGCAAGAATGCAGCCAGGCCGAGACTTCCTAGCAGCAAGTGAAGCAGGAAAAACACGATGATGGCTTCAAGGCCGCTGCCAGCTCTAAAGCTGGCTCAGGAGATGCCTCATCACTCAGCATTAAAGAGACCAATAAACTCCAGGCAAAGTTGGGGCTTAAACCCTTAGAAGTCAGTGCTGTCAAAAAGAGGTGGGCACCAAGAGGAGCCTGTGGGTGCCAATGTCATCAACCCCATGGCCTTGCGACAGTGAGAGGAGCTTTGGGAGAAACTGGCAGCTGCCAAGGAAAAGTGGCTATTGAACCAGAAGTTAGGGAAGAAAGACAATGGGGGAGGATGACCCCTGGCTGGATGACACTGCAGCATGGATTGAGAGGAGCTGGCAGCTGCAGAAGGAGAAAGACCTGGCAGAGAAGAGGGCCAAGCTGCTGGAACAGATGGATCAAGAGTTTGGTGTCAGCACTCTGGTGGAGGAGGAATTTGAGCAGAGGTGGCAGGACCTATGCAGTGCCCGGGACCATCAGGGCCTCATTATGGAACATGCCATAGAGTCCTTCCGAGACAGGAAGACTGTGATCCTCACCCTGATGGACAAAGGCGTGATGCAGGAGGAGGAGGGATGTGCTGGTGAATATGAAGCTGGTAGATACGGAACAAGTAGAGAAGAATGTGAAGCTTCAGAAGAAGCCCAACTACCTGCCCTTTGCAGAAGATGAGAGCGTGGATGACCTGGCACAGCAAAAACCTCTCTCTATCTTGGCCAAGTATAATGAGGAGCTAGAAGTTGAGCAACCACACTCCTTCTGGCTGGAGCAGGGTGACACAGCTCATGGCCTATGGGAACAAGAGCTGGAAGAGATCCGGACCAAGCTGTGGTTGCAGGCACAGTCCCAGAGCTTGGTAGGACCCAGGCTGGCCTCTGAGTACCTCACGCCTGAGGTGATGGTGACCTTTAAAAAGACCAAATGGAGAGTAAAGAAAATCTGTAAGAAGGAAAAGGAGGTAGTCCTGCTGGCAGATGATTTGCTGCCCCTTGGGGACCAGACTCAAGATGGGGATTTTGGTTCAAGGCTGAGGAGCCAGGGTTGACACCGAGTGTCAGAGGTAGAGGAGGCTCACCCGAGGATGCCCAAAAGGAGCCTGTGCCCCAGCCCCTGCCATCAAGTGACACCCAGGTGGATAACATGGACATCAGTGATGAGGAGGATGGGGGAGCTCTGCCTTCAGGGTCCCCTGAGGCACTGGAGGAGGATGAGGCAGAGCTAGAGTTGCAGAAGCAGTTGGAGAAGGGATGGTGGCTATGGCAGCTGCAGTAGTTGCAGCAGCTTCAGGACAGCAATGAGAAGGTGGTGGAGATTATGAAGAAGTTGGGAGTCTCGTCAGCGGGGCCAGGATGAGGAGGAAGATTCCAAGTAGAAGGGGGCCATCGTGTTCAATGCCATCTCAGAGTTCTGCTGCACCTTGGGGGAGATCCCCACCTATGGGCTGGCTGGCAACCAGGAGAAACAAGAGCAGCTCATGGACTTTGAACAGGACAATAAGCGCTCAGCCAATGGTGGCTTTGAGTCGGATGGGAAAGAGAACATTGGCTGGAGCACTGTGAACCTGGATGAGGAGAAGCAGCAGCAGGATTTCTCTGCCTCCTCTACCACCATCCTGGATGAGGAGCCTATTGTGAACAGAGGGCTGGCTGCTGCCCTGCTCCTGTGCCAGAACAAAGGTCTGCTGGAGACCACAGTACAGAAGGTGGCCTGGGTGAAGGAACCCAACAAGTCCCTGCCCTCAGCTGTATACTGCATTAAAGACAAGATGGCCACTGACAACAAGTACAGCAGGAGAGAAGAGTACCATGGCTTTACCCAGGACTTCAAAGAAAAGGACGGCTACAAGCCTGACATTAAGATTGAGTATGTGGATGAGACAGGCCAGAAACTCACATCCAAGGAGGCATTCCAACAGCTGTCCCACTGCTTCCATGGGAAGAGCTCGGGCAAAATGAAGATGGAGTGATGGATGAAGAAGCTGGACAAGGAGGCGCTCCTGAAGAAGATGAGCTCCAGCTCCTCTGGGCACAGTGGCTCTGCTCCAAGAGAAGCAGAAGGCCCAGAAGACTCCATACGTTGTGCTCAGTGACAGCAGCAAAAGCACAAATGCGAACACCATCACCAAGTGAACCAGTCAACCTTTGGTCCCCTATCCACCTTAATGTTAAATAAAGCTCCCTCATTTAAAAAAAAACAAAAACTTAATAAGATATCATTTCCCTAACACCAGTTATATCCTCTATGGTTTCTCATCTTTCAAAAAGTTAAATTCTTTCAGGTGGAAAATAGTGCTTGATGAAATGATTTTTTAATCCCTTTGCTTGATTCTCTATTTACATCTCTCATCTTAAAACTACATTAAATTGTAGTTCCTCTGTATGAGTTGGGATCTTCCATATATTGTGACTCTATCTTCCTCCCCAGACTATTTTTATCTCTCGAGTCCTGTCCACTTATCAAATATCTAAACATAATTTCTATATAAATTATTTGTATATAAAAGCCTTCATGATGGCAGCTTAAAGAAATAGAAAAATTGTCTTGGGGACTCAGAAAAAAACATATATATTACTTCGTTTCTTGCCTTCTACACTAAAGATCTGGTTGTTAAAGTGATGAGGGTTACTTGGAGAAATGGCTGACTTTACCAATTGGACAAGGTAAGTATAAGATGAGTATTACTCTGCTAAAAGAAAACAATGCTCAAGTAATTATGTGACACATCAAAAACACATAGAAGCCAATGTGAAGGAGTTCGCACTACCCAAATCTGGGAAGATTTCAGTGTCAAATTAAATAATAATAACAACAAAATGTAAGTCCATTTGATAAACAAGAATCCATAAATGTATGCTGACACAAACAAGTAAGGAAGTAGGAAAGGGAAACCTTTTATAGTAAAAAAACACTGTAAGTATAAGGAGTAATGAAAGACTTAGAAAAGCATAAAGGGATGCTAAGCTACAGAGCACAAGTTGGATGAAGGATAGGTAGTTTAACACTGTCTCTCTACAGAATACTTTTCAATTACAAAGGCAAAAATGGTTAACTTTTCTGTGGAAGAACTTGGGACAAACCAATAATACATGCACTGTGGTATTCCAATAAAAATATATAACTTGAATATTAAAAAGAGGAAAACAGACAAATTCAAATTGAAGGATATTCCACAAAATAACAGGCCTTCCACTTTAAAAATATCAATGTTATGAAAGATAAAGGATGACTGAAGAACTATTCCAAACTAAAAGAACCAAAAGAGACATCAAAGAAGGCAATGTTGGAGAGAAGCTGTTATAAAGGACATTCTTTGAACAAATAGTTACTTTTTTTGTACTCAGGAATTGAACTCAGAACCTTGTGCTTGCAAGGCACAAGGTGCTGTGCTGCTGAGCTATATTCCTGGCTCTGAAGTGGTAATATTTTAATGTGGACAATAGATTAAATAATAGCATTATATCTGTATAATTTTCTAAATTTGGCCACAGTATTATGGTTAAGAAAATGCCCCATGTGTGTACACATGTGTGCATTTGCACACACCCACTAAGATTGAATGCAGGGCCTTGCCTATGATAGGCAAGTGACTTATATACCTAGCTGATGTTCTTATACTGAAATATTTAAGGGAAAATGTCATGTTGTTGTAACTACCTTTTTCTCATGCTTCAGAGGAAAAAATAATATGAGGATGGATAGATGTATACATAAGTGAACAGATGAATGGACAGACAGAACTATCAACCAATCATGCCTTTCATCATATCTCTTTATCATGTACATTTAATGCCTAACTCTAAGGACTCCATCTGATCAATTTTGTATTCTTAGTGCCTCTTAGGCATAGATTAGCCTCCCAATAATTGTATGAAGGTAGGAAAATAAGGAAGAGTAACTTGAGAAG